GAGGGGGGCAGGAATATGTGGAGAGACAAGAAAAATGACATGTGATTAGAACATTCCAGTATTGTTCGGTTGACACTTTAGGCTATATACAATAGTGGAGCCTTGTCGAAGGCTTTGGGTGGAAAGAGGCGAAAGTTAAGAATAAACAAGAATGACTGACAGTAAAGTGGTCATGTCTAAGAATAAAGTGATTCAGTCAGAAAATAAAGTAATAAAGTCTTGACATCAAAATGCTCAAGCCTGGATAATATTGTGCTCAAGTGCTCAAATCTGGAGAATAAAAAAGTCAAGTATTGACGAAAAAGGGATCAATTCTTGAGAATTAAAAAGTCAGTTCTTGAGAAAAAAGATTTTTTAAAAATCGCTGCTTCCACTCAGGCTTCAACTGCAAATACACGTATAATATGAAAGCTGAGAGGTTCAAGCGAGTGAGAGTGAAAGAGTCTCTCACCCTCTCACCTGTCTGTTTGCCTGTCCTAATCACTGTCTGATTCTCTCCCTCTCTCTCTCTCTCTCTCTCTCTCTCTCTTTCTCTCTCTCTCTCTCTCTCTCTTTCTCTCTCTCTTTCGCTCTTTCTCTCTCTCTCTCTCATAGTGGTCTATACATTGTTTTCAAGTGCCTTTGAATCAAATCATGGTTAAAGGACAAAAACTCCATATGTTCTAACGGCTAACGCCTTTAACTTCACAGAGCAATTTTTGAAACTGTTTCCAGCTACCCCAAGTGTCGTCTCTCGTCCTACAGCGACAGTGTTGATGTTCAAAGGGTTCCTTTTTTCTGTCTTCTGTTTAGATATAAACACGAAATAAAGAGACCACCTCTGAGGGGAGTATAATTAATCTCCATTTTTAGTGGACTTTTTAGGCGACTCAAGGAAGAAGTCCTCGATCCGCCTTTTATACCACACGCGTCCTGTCAGCCAGGTCAGCAATAAAAGTTCGTCTACAGTCCTTTATTTTTGCCCACTTAGCTGCCATTATTGTCCTAAATGATGATAAAAGCGAGTTAAAATCCGCTATATCGTGGAGAGTTAATCCGATTATTTCCGTTTGTCTGTGCCGGCGCCAATTCTCTCTCTTGAGTGTCCGTGGTACTGTGGAATAATAAGAAGTATGGTAGGAGTCCTTCAGTCGTGGTCTATTCACAAGATCACGATCAGCTGTGTGGTCGGCGATGCTGGAGCGTATGCGCGCCTGTTTAAGAGTGATTTTATACGAGGCCTACCTATGCACGCCGGACTCGTTCTTTTATACGCTTTTTGAGACCATGGGTGGCTGATCAGCCTGTTGGAATTTTTTTTTCATTCCCCCACGGGAAGATGATTGAAGGAAAAGACAAAAAATCGTTGTCTGTGCCACAGTGTGTGTGCGTGTGTGTGTGAGTGTTTGTATGTGTGTTTGTGTGTGTGTTTGTGTGAGTTTGTGTGAGTGTGTGTGTGTGTGTGTGTGTGTGTGTG